GGCTCCAGTGACCCCCACGGCCTAAAAAGGAGGAAGCAGGTACAAAATGGATGGGTGAATTCACAAGCTAGCAGCTCGTTCAAGCCAGACTAAAGCTAAGGTGGACTCCTGTTACCTTGAACCAACATCAGCCTCATTAATTTCACAGCAGTTAAAGAAAGTGGTATTTCTTTTCAACTTGGTCGGCTTAGGAGGAAGAGTTGTCTTATGCTTTTTTGGAAGACTGATGGTTTGATCCCAGTTTCCTCAATTCGAAGCCTCTTTGAACTCTATGTAGCCCCTGATTCTGTGGACTGGTGTGTGAGTAAATGAATGGGTGAACGGACCTTGTAGTGGAAAAGCACTATGTGCATCTTCCAAATATTTTTCCTGCTAAAATTCAATTATTCCTTTTCACTGTCACCAACATGTTTGCTCGGGGTCGGTTTGCAACAAAGGAAATCCCCCTTCATGGATAACTTTTACGAATTAGTATTTCATAACATTCTGTAAGTGAATATATTGCATCATAATGGAAATTGTGTTGATCTTAAATGGATCAGAATCTGTTTGTTTTGGACTGACTCAGATTTCTGATTTGACCTCTTCCTTATGTAAAGTGCCCTGAGATGACCTTACTGGTGGATTGTTGCAATAAAAACCAACTTAACTGAAGTGAAAAGAGTTATATTCTGTCACTTTCACAACAAACAATGTCTCAGGCTAAAGCTAGCGGCTTCTTCAGTTTGCAGGTGATCACGTGTAAAAACAAAGATTTGCAAAAGGTTTTTAGGATCACATTCACACAGTTAGCTATTAAATGAACATAATTGGAGTTGTTTTTATGTATCCACTGAGCTTGGCCCCTCGCAGACAGTGTTTATTATTAAACTTTTTTCCTCCAGACTGCTTCTCTTCAAAAAGCTATCTCGTGGCTGCATATGGACAGTACATCAGGTCTTGCTCTACCTTCAGGCTCATCCCATCTCCTATGACCCTCAAATGCATCTGCAGTTTTATGGTTTTATGAAGTCAGAATCACCACAGAATGTTATTTCAACACGCTTAAACTATTGCATCAAGGGATTCAAAGACAAGATTTAAATATGAAGTATTAAATGCTTTTTTTCTAGTTAAGAATAAGTTTAATTTTAAGATTATTTATTTATGACCAATCACACTAACTTTACAATAAAAAGAAACATACAGTAGCATTGTGCAAGATTTAGCCCATCGACCTAAATCTGGCCTATTAGGTTTTTTTATTTTTTTATTCTGTTTCCTTTTCTGCAAAACATCTTGCATTCACTAGCTTGCACCTTCCAGCCTCCAGTGGACACATGGGGATGAGAGGCAGCAGATGCACCTGCCAGATGCAGGAGCTACAAGTCGCAGAGTCTGTCAGCTCTGATGCTGCAACAGGCAGCCTGCAGAATTCAGCAAAAATGAACGCGCTGCTGATCCTGAGCGCGCGCCTTGTTTGCTAAACAATCACGTGAGACGGAGGAGAGAGAAGTGTTGAGTTTAGGAGCAGTAAATGAAACAGTGCGAGGAACACTCTGCTGCATCACCGTGAACCTGTGTTTAATTAGGAATCCTTCAATTAGCGCAGCTGTGTGTTGCAGTGTTGTGGGTTTGTTGTGTAAATTTCAGTGCGCGCTCCTACAAGCTGTCAGAGCGCGTGCCATGGAGACGCGCAGCTTTGGACACTTTGCGCTTCGCAGTTTTGACGCGAGACTTGATGATCATCATATTATTACTTTTATTATTATTATTACAACCTCTAAAGTCCCCTTGCTTTCCTTCTCCCTCACTCTGTTTCTCTCTCTCCCATCTCCCTCCATCCCTGTTGCATCCTTTTTTTCTTCCTTTCTTTCTTCTCCCCCGTTTCAGGCTCAGGGGGGTGCGGGGCTTCTCGCCAAGTCCTCGCCCCTCCTCCCCGGAATGCGGCACAGCTGCCTTTCAGAACCCCGCCGCTCCAGCCCATTCATCCAGTAGCCCCCCCACCTCACCCCACCCTGCCACCCTCCATCAAAAAAAGTGGCTATTTATTAGAATACTTGTTTTGTATTGTTCCGCGCTGCACAAAAGACATTCATTATGTTAGAAGCAAGCCCCCGTTTTACCCAGAGAGAAACAATAACTTGGAATTGTCTGTTTTTTTCCTTTTTTTTTTTTTTTTTTAGAGAGAGAATAATAAATGTCATTTCTTCTTGTCTCTGCCCCTCAGTGTGTGTGGAGTGGTGGGTTTGGGCACCGGGCATGGATGGCCTTGGCACTCGTGCGGCCGCAGACTGTGGTGGGAGTGTGTAGCGCCGGTCTTACATGCAGCTTTGGATGGGTTTAGGACGGCTTTAGGGGTGTGGAGGGACAAATGTGCACACTTTGTCTGGAGCAGAGAGGCACCGAGGGGGGAGCGCGCGTAAGTTTCAAAATTCCGAAGAAATAAATTGTTAAAAAATAAAAATTAAAAAAAGACAACTTGTGTAAATGCTTCTCATAAAATTTGTGGATATGTCTTGCGTTTTGTCTTTATTAAATATATTTGCTGAGCTTTGCGTTTTTTGTTTAACTGAGCTTTTAGTTCCACGCAGGGTTTGGCTGCGCATGCAGAGCCCCCTCACGAGGCAACCAGTTGCTCTCAGTTGGAGTGGAAAGTCCTCGGATCGGACAGAAAGGTTATTCCGCCTCTCTGTAAAGAGAAAAACATCAGCACCTTGTGAAAAATGTCGTTTTGAACGAAATCTTATATACACTGTGACGTCATTCTTCCCTTTATTTGATTTTCATTATAGGCGGTGGAGATGAAAGGGTCCCTGAATGCAACACATTTAAACGTGAAGCGCAGACGCTTTTTGTCTCTTGAGCGCAATTAAATAATTAACCGCGGTTTGGGTGATGATGATGATGATGATGATGGTGATGATGATGATGGACAGTCAAGGCTTGAGAAAACGCTGCAGGTAAAACATGAGGAGAGTGGAAACAGAGAAGGAAATATTTGCTTATGTTCGTATTTTGTTGTGGCGGGGTGGAGATAGTGTGTGCATGTTGGCGGGGGGTGGGGGTGGGGGGGTTGTTGGATAACTGCTTTGACCTTTGGCCTCTGTCACGCACTGTCATGACAGCGCTCACACACTCCTGTTGCAGAAGCCGGGGGCACAAAGGAGCGACTCGGTTTGAAAAGAGGTTTGTTAAAGGAGGGAGTGGGGGTGGGTTTGACAGAGAAAGTGAACGGGAGGGGTGGTGTGGGGGGGCACCCGGGTCCAAGTGTCAATGTAAAGGCTAATCCTCTCTGCACAACCTTTAAATCCTCTCAACAGAGTAAAAAACAACAATCACGATGAAAACCTCATTAATGTTAACGATTTATTTTTTAAAAGTTATTATTTTTGGTTTTAATATAATATTCTGGAAATATCCACGTAATTATTGAGTTTGAATTTATAAATAACCATGACCTGTTTAACTGTTTGAAAATATTCTGAAAATTTATATATATATATATATATATATATATATATATATATA